TAGATGGTAACATCACAGTTTTGCGAGACAATTATAACCGCTCTTATTCGATGCTACTGACAGATGGAAATTATGCTAAAATTTCACAGCTTCTGAATGAAGAGATATCGTCATTACTGAATTTCTTAATACCCTGTCTTGGCATGGCTTGCAATGCTGATGGGATGTGAAATAAATAAATATATTAATATATTAATGAACATAGAAAACCATGGAAACCTGATAAAACGCCATCCCGGCGCTCGGCACAGGGCCTCCAAGATGTCGTGGATGAGAAAGGATTTTCCCAAAGAGATGGCGATTCCTTGACCTGAAAATAATACCAAAGAGGACATGAGAAGAGAAAATAACACCATTGTCATTGAACAACAGAAAAGGAGAAAATGAAATGGAAACCAAAGCAGTGGTCCTTATGAGAACTTACATGTGGGCAATGAAGAACAATGCCGTCCTTTTTACACAAGTAAGGGGCATTCTACAATAAATTGAACACGAATTCGATCATGAGAACTTGCCAAAAAGAGTTCACCGGCAGAACTATTGTATGAGAAAAAAAAACAAAATACACGCATTACTTGTACAGCTACTCATAACAGAAGTTACTCTATAGCTGAACAATACAATTCAAAATTGAAAGAAGAACAATAAGTTGACTCCACATGCAAATTCCAGGGTAATTTAATTCAATTTCAGATAAACAAAATAACAGTAGAAATTACAGATGAGAAATTTCGTTTTCCACACACCAAAGGCGAAAATGGATCCAATGCACTGTTAGTAAATCTTAAAACGCGGGCAGAGAGGACTCACGAGTTTATGGAAGATTGTGAATACAGAAACTAAACCAACGAGTAGAAGAAGGAAGGTGAAAAACAGAGAGATCCTGGAGTTGTGAGGCGAAACCCTAGGGTCGTCGTTCAAGAAGAAGCAGACATGCCGGTCGCGCTCCTTGGATGAGTGGCGATCGTGCTCGTCGTCGTCGGTGAGGTGGCTGTCGGGAATGAGTGGAGAGGAATCGGCAGCGCCGCCGAAGGCGACGGCGACGGCGTCACGCTTCATCGGAGAATTGGAGGCTCGGCTGCCGAGGGAAGAGGAGTGGCGGAGCTCCGCCATGCTCCGATTCGGAATGGAGTGAGTTCTCTGTCTTTCTCGGAATGGAGTGAGTTCTCTCTCTTTCTGGTTCTCTCTCTCTACTTTCTCTCTCCACTTTCTCTCTCTATAACTAAACTAAGAAACAGTAACAAGTGCTTCTTCCTCTTCTCTTACCAACGCAGGAGAAAGCAACGTTTTCTTGTTGTGGATGAGTCCCATGTGATTTCAGATCCACCTCTTTCCGCTATTTCTTTCTATTTTTTTCCACAACCCTTATTTATTTATTTATTAACACAGAAATGATATTTTCAAACACATACAAAATTTTTACAACCTTTTAACATTATTTTTTTTATCTTTTTTAAAAAATAAAAAATTTAACGATCCACCGTTTCTTTTATTATTATTATTATGAATAATCTTGAACACACACAAATTGACATTATCTTTTATTATTTTTTCGGCTGAAGGAGGAAAGTACATAAGTTTCCATTTTTTTTGAAAAAACTCCTGTCTAAGAAAATTATTTTTTCATCTATACATAATCTTCATTGAACTTATAATTAAGGTAAATATTTAAGTTTTCCATTACGTCTTGAAAATATAGCAGGTGAAAATAAAAGAAAGAAACTAGAAAAATTAGTGTTTGATTCAAAAATATAGTGAAGGAATGAGAAAGAAGATAATGTATATTTATTACAGCTGTTAAAACGGGAATTTCGGCTCGATCCGACCCGGTTCATCACAAGTTGGTTACTTAGTAAGTCAACCTAACCCGGCTCACTTATTAGCGAGTTGAAAAAATTCGAACTTAGCCTGATTCAGGGTCGATGGATTAAATGGGTTGACTCACTGTCTCGTTTAATTATAATTTTTTTAAAATAAAAATTTTAAATCAAATCTAAATATACGTCTTTTCTAAGATGATGTTAAACTCTAAAGACAAATCAAAATAAATAAATAAATATCAGAAATAAGTTTTTAATATTGATAAATTTTTTATCCTAATAATATTGAAACACAAAATAATAAATAATTAATTATTAAACTAAATTATGTGAGTTAGCCAACCCGGCTCATCACGGGTTCAACCCGACGGTGAGGCAGGTCCTAAGTGAGTCGGGTTGAAAACTAACCCGCGTAAAAAAAATTACATTTTTTTCAAACCCAATCCGGCTCAAACATGTGGTGAGCCGAGTTGGCTCGCTGGTCACAACTCATTTTAACACCACTAATATTTATAAACAAGTTAGTGGATTTTACCAAAATTGAAAATATTTTTCCTCTATATTAAACTATACAAATTATTTATATACTACCACCTTGCAAGAATGGCGTATTTTGCAGAAAAAGACAAATTATATGTACAACTTTATTTTGATTATACGCGTGTTCTAAATGCTAAACAAACTAATGCCGTTTCGAGTTTAAGAAAAATAATAATAACAATTTGTTGACCTTTTAAATTTGGGTTTTAAACACATCTTATAAAAAAATAATTAACTTTTAAAAATTATTGAAAGAATGTTCACTAGAAGTTGAGACAAAGAATACTGGAAGAATTTTTGAACTGTCTGTAACAATATCTTTTTTCTAGAGTTTCATTTTATTTCTTCTTACTCATCTCACATGAATTTCACTCTATTCCTATATAATGGTTTGAATCTTTTATTTTAGTTTAATTACTTATTTTTTATTTAGTATTATTTTCAAAATTGAAAATTTTTGTGTAATATATGTTTTATTTGCTTTGTTAGATTCACCTTTGATTGAGTATGTGGTGGGAGTTATGCTACACCATTAAAAGTTATGAATCAATAAATGATCTCTTGTAACATTACAAATAATCATGAAATTGTATTAGTTATTTAATTTAAAGTATGTTGTTTGATGAATATTAATAAACATGTTTTATAGGAATAAGTAGTTTTAAACAGTATAAACTAACAACTTGAAGTAAATTTTTATTATATTTAGATTAATTCCAATTTTTTTAATTGAACAAGAATTATGACAATCATTATGTGTCAACTTTTTCTACTATAATAATATGTGGAAACGCTCGTGGTTTATTTTTTTATGATAAAAATATTTTTTTTTATAAATATAAAAAAAATTATTTATTTTTATAATTTGTTTAAATAGTTTTATTTATTTTATAAATAATTTGTACAAGTGTAATTTCACCACAAATATTAATAAATAAACCAAAAAGCATACATCTATTGCATACCAAGTATATTTTAAACAATTGAAGAAAAAGAAAATAACAAACTTAAAAACTAACATCAAAGGTGGTGTCCCAAGCTAGACTTATCTCAAAATGTAACGTTCATCGTTATTTATTCTCGCAAAAAATTAGGTTTGGTGACACACTTATTTCGTCTAATGTCTTTGAACTAAAATGTTCAACCTATAGTACAAAAATAACGTTCATCGGTATCCTAACATCGCTCAACGTCAAACCATTCACAAAACTAGACACTCAATGTTACACCTCTCAGCGCTACCCTATTTGCAAAATAAGATGCTAAATGTCACCCCAGTGTTGCTTAACGCTATACTATATATCAACACTTGTATTATTTTTTTTTTCTTTTGAGAGAACTTAAACCTATTAAATTGATCAATTTGATATTCCTTTCTTAGTGCATTGTTCAAAACAATTTTAAATTTTGCTTGTACCATTTTGAATAATTGTTCACATTTAAGTTCTCTTAATCACACAAAACTAAATTTAAATGAGTCAAACATCCAATCATCAAACAGTCAAATCATATATGTTAAAACATGAAATTTTCATACTTTACTAACTCGACAATTATATCTAAAACATAAATCAAACAACATTTTTATATTTCAATAGATCACACTCATCATTCATATAGATCATTTAGTCAATTTATCACACAATCATAAAATTTAAAATTTCAAAGTATTTATAACTTTAAAAGAGTGCAATTAAATTTCCTTGTATGTGAAACATATTAACTTGCTATAAATAATTCAAAAACCCTTAAGGCCATAAGACCATAACAAACTAAATTTCTTTCAACTTGCAAGATCTTATTTTTACATAAAAACACCACAATAACAATTAAAACATACCAGTATGATTAATGATCAACCGAGACTCATATAGACCTTTAAAAAGATCATACAAGTGAAATAAATTCACATACATACAACAGAAAAGACAAAAAATAGAAGAAGATTGAAACTCAATTTATATAAAGAAAAAACTGTAAGAAAAATTTAGAAAATAATTTATAAAAAATAATACATTTTAAAATATGAATTTCATTTAAAACTATTTATATTAAAATATTTTAATATTAAAATAATTTGAATCTCACATTTTTAAACCAATATCATATAAAATGTCAATTTATACATCTTTACAATATTGATAAATGATTATTATACATGATTATTTAAACTTGAAAAGTAATTATAAAATATAAAAAAGTAAAAATAAAATAAAATAGAATAATAGATTTAAATTTAATAATGCATGTTAAAATATATAATTACAGAAACAGCTATAAAAAATATCATATTTATTAATAGTCATGATTTATTTGGTTGTCCAATTCTCACCAATCCATTGTATCATTTCCAATTATTTATTTCCAAATTCACTCTCATTTACTTCCAAATTCACTCAAATAAAAAAAAAAATTTATCTTCAAATCTTCTCAAATTTCCTCAAATCCATTATCTCAAATTCACTCAAAAGAAAAGGCCTAATTAATCTTTAAAGACTAGAGTGAAAAATTCACATAATGACAAACAAGTTTTATAATTTAAAAAATGGACTAAAAATATTTAAAAATGAATTAAAGACAACTGAATTTGTGTTTCATAATTAAATAATTAAAAAAGAAATATATAAACGGGGTGAAGTTTTCACATACTTAACAAGGGTTTAAGAAGCAGACCGGAGAGAAGCTATCAAGACGGTGACCGGAAAATCTGCGTCAGCAGCGCCACATTGAAGGGGATGACGGAGATGGTGAGACTTCGGGTTGTGTTCGAGGATCCAGGCATGCTGAGCAAGTCAAAGAAGAAGGAAGGATTGAGGCGTTGTTGGTTTCTGCTTAAACCCCAACACAGCACCATTTCGGATGTTGCCTCTCACCTGCACAAAGCTTTCCGTCTCCACCGCACCTGTCCCCGCGGCATCATCCTCTTGGTATGTTTGCATATGCATGCTCCGTCGTACATGTACAACAATCTCGAAACAAATCTATTTTACATCTCGATTTCACTATTAGATTTGTTTAGTGTTGTTGAGTATATATGTTTGACTATTGAAATTTCTTGGATAACCTGATTCCGTTTTCTTATTGGATTTTAATGTAGATGGATGATTTTGTTATACCATCTTTTGAGTCCACTTGCATTCTGAAGGATAAGGACATCATCTGGTGAGTTTATACTTATTTCTGTGTTTTTCAACGCATTCTGTGATGTTACTCTTGTTATACTTCCCAGTGTGAAAAGAAAAGGAAGCACACGGACTGATGTTGAACCTTCAATGCCTTCAATGCTGTCACCTGCCCCTCGTCGGCATTTAGCTATAGAACTCCCAAATGATCTTGCAAATGAGGGTTTTCAAGTTCAAGAAGAGTTTGGAGCAGAAGAAACCATGTCCCAAGAGGATGACGACGACGAAAATGATGTTTATGTGGAATCTAAATCAGATGGGAAGGCAACCTCTAAGAAACGAAAATCTTCAAGGAAGCTCAAGAGCCCTAGGTCAGTTCTGTCCTCAAATATTGTTGCTGCTACAAAGCTTAGAGAGTTGTGATAAATTTTTTTCCCCAGAGCATTTTTCAGGGGTATTTTCTTTTCTGAATGTTATGGAATCTATCTAGTTTTGTTTTCTTTTTTTGCTCTTAGAGTAAGAGCAAAAAGATTGATACAACATGACATATTTCAGCATCAATACGGAACCCAAACAAAACTAAATCTGATGGGTTGGGCAATGGTTAAACATCCTTAGCTCACAATGCTACGGAATCCATTTAACCAAAAATTAATCCCGTTTGCAGTAATGTGAGCATAGGATTCCTAACTAATTACTTATCTGAATTAGTTTTATGTAACTTTTGTATTAATGCTTCCTTAAATATGTTCTATCCATGTTATCACAGTAATATATGTATTAATCTTTCTGCTCCTATTTTAACTTAATTTGGCTTTTAGTGTAAGATTAAGTAGGGATCTCCCTTCTCTCTTTGAAACCTTTTTTCTTTTTCCTTTTTTTTGAACTTTGAAAGTAGTTATTCGACCATGTAAACGTTATCTGACTTTATTCCATTATCTTTGACATTCAGTCAGAAGAAGATTAAGCTGTCTACTTCTGAAAACTTGTCAGTCATTCCTGAGGTCCATGAAGAAGAAAATGAAGGTGGTATTCATCACCAATTGAGTTTTGTCAAGAAGGACAAGAAGAAGTCTTCCAATTTATCTAGCAAGCTTAATAAGCCAAGCAACCTTGATAAACAAAAGAATGACAAAAGTGATTGTCCAAGTGATGAAACAAGGTCCATTTTCATCTCACTAGTGATTTGTATGACATGTCAATGGTGCATCTTTTCCTCCTCTGATTGTTCATTGCACAGTGCATATTTGGTATTTTGGGCAAGACAACCTGCTAATATAATTTTATTGACAATTTTTGGCGTGCATGTCTGGGGATCTTTTATCTTAGTTATTTTTTGTTTATATATATATATTTGTAGATTAAGAAGTGTGGTTTGACGGGGTAGAAACCAATATTCCTTTTTATTTTATTTTATGTTATTTTATAGATTGTTTGATTCTTCAGTCCTCTTATTATTGTGATCCAATTTTAAATCCCTGTCCCCTTGTGATGAGATGTCTGTTTTCTGAATAACAGAAATATAAAATGTTTTTCCTTATTTTTCTTTGATATGTTGTATAGGTTTGTTCAGCCTCAAGATGAAAGTGCAACTAAAAAGGTAACACTTAATTTACACCACTTTTGAATACACATATATCATATGTATCCTGTTTGCATTGAACCACGGTGATAAACTTGAGATTCTACCTAGACTTGGAAAGGGAATGCTGAATCATAGTTTTTGGGATAATAACATGAAGCACAAGATTCTACAAGATATATAAAATTCATGTAGACGCAGATTGCGTAACATAAATAAGAGAAAAGAACCCATGTAACACTATATATTTAATAAAGCCTAAATTTATAATGATGGATTAATAAGCATAAGAAAGTCAATAACAAAACCTATACAAAACTCGTAACTCACATGTCATAAATGACAAATAAAACAACTTATAATATTGTAGTAGTGCCTAGTGCTCACTCCAGAACAAAACATGACACATGAACACCTAAAATAGACGTCTAAAATAGATCATCCAAATTAAATCATAATCACTGAAGAGATCCTCATTTCTCCCGTCTAGCTAGATAAATGGTGAGATGAGATGGAGACAAAGTAAACCCCACAAGCAAAGCTACAAAGGCACAGTAATAGTCAAGCAACCTTAAAAGTGTGGCTGAGAAAAGTGCTGGTTTAGTGGTTTAGGCAATAGTTTGGGGGCTTGGTTAGAGAGGCCGCAAACTTTACACTAGAGGTTGAAGAATACATACTAATGCTTTATATATATATATATATATATATATATATATATATATATATATATATGTATGTATAGGTGGGTTCAAACCGCACCATACTAAATTAGTTTTATAAGGTTGAGTTAGGTTTAAATTTTACTTTCTTAAGAAGAGATGCTTGCTATTGTACTTATAAAAAACAATACAATAAATTCAGTTACGTTTTTGTTCAGAGATCTTCTTTCTGTTACTCTTTTGTATTAATCAGTAGTGCTGGAACAAAATTGGCTACATAATCAAATGGGTATCGGAAGATACACCAATTAATCAAGAGATTATATTGATGTTCATGTTACTCAGTGAAGGGAGGACCAAATTGATATCTAAAATTATTTGACGGACCAACGTGATTTCCCATGCATATAGAGGACCAATTTGAGTATTTGGTCGGTAGAAATAATCTAGTCCTGAGATAACTAAACGTTTTTCTTATTAGTTCAAGATAGTATACGATAGCCCTTGAATATTACGGAGTGCTCAATGCTTTAGGAATCATCTTTGTGGACATTTCATACCACTTGCAAGTATTTACACTTTACTTTTATTGGTTGTTTTTTTCAGTTGCCTAGCAGAAGTGCTCGACGGAAGAAAGCTAAAAGAAGATGGCTGAGGGAACTGAAGCTAGAGAAGGAGAAACAGGAAAAGGTGAATTGGTTCTATAATGCTGAAGATATTACCTTTTATATGAGATTGGATCTATTGAACAGTGTTCTTAAATAGTTTATATTGCAGTGCTATTGTGCTGTAGAATTCCTAGGGTTTTTAATCATGACTTTGTTTGTAGTTATGAAATAAGGACCAAGGAAAGACTCAACACCTTCATTGATGTTTGTTCATCTCTTCCATCCTCTAGTCATCTTTGGCTAATCTCGATCTGGCTAATTGAAGTTTTGAGTTAATTTTGGGAATTCTTTATGCATTTGACAAATGCATTATATATTTCAACTGTTATGTGGCTTCTGCCATTTTCTTGCACATTATTCTCTATATGATATGTAATGAATTGTTGTCTTCCTGCCATTTCCCATGACCTGGATAACAGTTCTTTTTGATATTGTTGAGTTATCGACTTTTTTTGGTTACTAAGATGCCTAGGCAACATAATTTGAAAGGGTTGAAAACATTCATCTGTTGTCTTGAAGGTCATTTGTCTAGCCTTACTATTCACAAAATGTATTACCATTCTATCTGAAAGGAAATGTTCTTCTCTTCAAATTGGCAGCTCCGCCAGACTACAGTGCTTGAAAAAGACGGACAAGTATTACCTATAAAAGATAATAACTGTGTTGCTTCTGATGTACATCAACAATCTGATGAACATCAACAATCTGATGAACATCAACAATCTGACGAAGAGAGTGAAGATGATGACACTGTTCCTGTGGAAATTAGACCAGGGCACATTCGATTTGAGCCCCTTAAGAAAGGTCTGAATGAAGATCTCATCTACAAAGATTTATGAAGTAGAAATTAATTGCTTTCATGATCTAATATATGTTCAATGGTCTATTTAATGCAGATCAAGATCAGGCAGTACCGCAGAATCAGTTCTCAGTGGTTGGTTTGATTTCCCTCAATAAAAGATTAACAATTTCAGCTGTGTTTTACTCTCAATCATAAATTAGTCAATAAATCAGTGATATTGTTAATTATGCCAAAAAAATGTACTATGCATTATATTATATTTGCATTTGAACTTCTGGCTTTTTAGACTTTAGTGTTTGATGGAGGATAAAGAATATTTCTCTTGGAAAGTACAAAATTCATTAAACAGCCTTTTCTTAGAGGCCTGATAGATATCAGAGATGTGGGAGGAAGCTAACAAAATTCTTTAGGATTTTTTGATTGATGATTTTAGAGGAATCAATGTGACTTGTTATAAATTTTGTGTCATTTGAACCATGTAATGTAATCCATATATTGATTCTCACTATAAGGTTAATAGCTCGAAGTTTTAGAACTTACCATGTTGAGTAGCTACTCAAATTTTTTGGTGCACAATTGTATTTCCATGTTAGTTTTGCATTATTGTCAAAACCTTGCATAAGATAGAGATCTGGATCTTTCAGGAAACATTTCAGTGGAATGGAATCACTAACAAGAAGAAGGGTCAGAAATGGGGTAAAGAGAGAATGTCATTCCATAAACATGATGGCTACGGGGATTCCAGTCAAGAGTATGCTACAGTTCAAAATGCTGAAAAGGAACCCACTTTCAATGTAGTAGATTTTGATAAGCTTCAATCTTTTACTGGTTTGCCTAAGGTGTTTTTCTTTCATTCTCCCTAACTAATGTGTACTTATGGCAATTCTCATTCTGCTTAGAGTAGTTGACCATTAACCCATGGCTGAGTTAGGAGTCCTTTCAGCTTCTGGTTAACCATTCAACTTATCTGTATTCTGTGCTTTGAATCTGTAAATTATAGTGCATGGTATTCATTTGGTGCTTTTTAATAACCTAATCATACACTGCAGGAGGGCGATGTAATTGCTTATCGATTGATCGAGTTATCAGCATCTTTCACTCCTGAACTTTCCTCCTTTAGGGTACATATCAAGTTTGCTTTTGAATTACATTATAAAAAATCTTGTGTCTGAGGTTTAAATTAATATGTATTTCATTTATAACCTTGCAGGTTGGGAAAATATCTCAGTATGATTCTAAAACAAACAGGATTTGGCTGGAACTGGTTTTAGAATATCCTTTTGACTTTAAGAAAGAAACAGAGAAGGATGCATCTTCTTTTGAACAGTCTGATGCATCCCCTTATGGGGAGGATGGTTCTTTAGAGGTAAAGTTACTTCATTTTTTTTCCCATTTATTTTATTTTTGTGTTGTAGCTTATATGATAGGGGGAAAGTTCATATGTCCGCCGTGGTAAATAAAACTATATGCTGATTGTTTGTTTGCTTGAAAATGACTGCTTTCCTTCTACAGATAGATTATGCATCGCTTGTTGACGTTCGAATGGTTAAGCATGGCCATTTTAGATCGAAAACTGCAGTTGTTTCTGGTGATGCATTTATAAATCCAACAAAAGCAACTAATGGTAGCACTGATGAAAAACTTAAAGGTGATCGAACTAGCGCGGTTAGTTGCCATACAGAAAGGGAAGGTAAGGTCTTATCCCTGTTAAAACTTGCGATTCTAAGAAACATTAAAACAAATGTGGATTTGCTTACAGAAAATGGGGAAGTAAACGTTTGGGAAGAAATTAGCAAGGAATTAGAAGCAAAAAAGGCGAAGCTGTCGCAGGATGATGGGTGGAGCAGAGGAAAGAGCTCAAGCTCGAAGTCATGGTCTCATAGAGCTATGAGATGTAGTGCGTTGGGTCCAACAATGGCATTTTTAAGGTCCAACAATGGTCTTTAAAGAAACAAGCTTGTCCCACAATGTCACCTTTCCGCAGAATTTTGGTATATATACATGAACAACTTACCGAAACCATCATCACCAATGCTGGCTGTATGTCCTGATTTCAGCATACTATAGGAAAACCGTTTGAAGTTTTATTCTTTTTGGGATGTTATTTTTTGCAGTCCTCATGAAATCCAATTAGAAAATAGAATCAACTTCTGCACATACTTATGCTTATAACATTGATATGAAAGAGAATTCAAATCATGAAATTAAGATGAGTAATCACTGACTGTGGAGGTAAATGGACTAAGATTAGAGTGCAAGTTATCTCCTGTTTGCTTAGTTAGAGATTTTAAATTCAATTATTAATGTAAAACTTGAGTTTAAGTTTTTCTCTTAACAATGATTCTATCTAATGTGAACAATCTTTAATAAAAAATAAGTGTGAACCATTGAAAGGAAAGTGAAACGTGTAAACACTAGACATATCTCTTGTCTTGAAAAGAAATAAAATAGAAAAGGGTTTAAGTTTTGTGATCCACTGAGAAGACCTGTCCAAAGTAGCCGCCACAGAATTATCTTCATAATCACATCATTACATTACATAATGTTCTTATTATACAATACCATTAATATTACTATTTCATCCTTACAAAATATCCAACCACCCCATCTTTCTCCTCTTCCAATATCAAAATTGTTAAATGTTTCACATATACTGGAAATAAAACAAAATTATAATATATTTAAGAACTAAATACACTTTTTAATTTCTCAAGTTTAATACTTAGACATTGAAAACATATTTTACCAAAGTTGAGAAATTAAGTATTTTTAATTTAAAAGATGAATAAACAAATAAGACTAACATAAATGCTCTTATAATATGTTTGTACACTATAACCTAGTGAAAAAATAACTTGTAGATATACAAATTTCGATGATTGATGATTGTAAGGTAATTTCTTTATGTATCTCCGTATTTATACTTATATTTCCATAAATTTTTATATTTTGAAATATATAATTTAGAATATAATTTTTTTTACATTTCTTATTTCAGAATATTAAATAAAAAATATACTTTACATTATTTTAAATTGTACAATCTAAAATATAAATTTTATATTTTGAATTATTGTTTTAGGAATAAAAAAATTACATTCTAAATTATATATTTTGAAATACAAATTATATATACCAAACTATAAAATTTACATTTAAAATTAAACCATTTCAAAGACAAAAAAATGTCGGAAATACAGTTAGAAATTTATGGAAACGTAAAAATAAACTACCTGATTGTAAATTGTTTACAAAATGAATAGGCAATTGCTAAGAATCTTGTTGAAAGAAATTGTTATTTGCAACCTCCAAAGTGCTATAATAACATTCTCCAAAAAATATCTAAACCTTAATTTTATGTAGAGGCAAACCATAATATTAAATATAAAGTAATAATTAAATTATGTTTTGTATACCAAATATATTTCAATATAAATACCACATCTCAGTATACAAAATTTGATCACTTGAAGTGTTTTTCATTATCAATACATAATTATTTGTTAATTATATATTTTTAAACATAAATCAAATTAAATGATTCAAAATATGTCATATCTAAACTTTAAAATATAAATTTATCAAAAAAATGTTGTTTTGAGCAGTTGAAATTAGTGGGGGTTGTCCTCTTTTTCGTTATTGCTGGACTTGCCATTTGACAATGACTTATTAAAGGTTGCAACTTTTTCAAGATGGTTACTGAATTTGAAAGCTTCCTTGAAAAAGTTTCCAAGTAAAAATGCCATTTACAAGGAGTAATCAAAGGAAAGCTTAGACTAAAATTAAACATTTTTTTTCTTTAATATTATTTAATGGATTTTGCTAAATTTAAACAAATCTTTACCAAACTCGAAACCTAATATGTAAGAAGAAGTCAAAAAGGAAAAAATAAAAAATAACAAGAAAAACTTACTGTTAAGTATTTGACAAGTGTGAGAAGTTTAAGTGTGAAATTGAAACTCTATTATTAGATATATTATTATATATAGATGAAGAAGCCCGAACAATATACTATAAATAGTTTACTTAAATTTTAATTTTTTAATAAATTTAAATACTTTTAATTGATTAAGTACTTTTATATTTGTCAACCGAGTCTTTATATTTTAATTTTTTAACTAATGAGGTAACTTACTATTAATTTTGTTTTACTATTAAATATTTTAAATAAAAGATAAAATATTTGTCATTATATAATTTTAAAAAATTGGTTAGTAATTATTTAATTAAAAAATATTAGATATTGTTAAATATTAAATTAATTATTTTAAAAAATAAAATAATTATAAGAGGGTATACTAACTGAATTAGATTTTTTGAATGTAATAATATATTTAACCCGCTTTTATAATTTATATTTTTCAAGAAATAATTTGATTTTTTGGGTTCAAATTTCACTATAAATAGGTGAATTGGGATACTTTTTAGTTTTGGAGAGCGAGTCTTAAAAAATTGTAAGTTTTTTTAAAACACTTTTGGAGAAGAACTTGTGGGAGAGATTCAGAGCTCAAAGTGTAAGTTAAAAAGTTTAAACTTTAATCAATGTATTTAGGTTGAGAGAACTAAATGCTTTAACTATTTGAATCGTTTCATCATGTTTTTGTATCTTATTTGTAAAATGAACTTTTCTTTTTACTTGATATTTACATAATTATGATGATTTTACTTTTAAATAACTACTTGATTTATTTACAAGTATTTATACTCTAAAAAAAAGTAAAAAATGGAGTGTCATAAACAAGTGATTTTTACTCTTTTCGTTATGTTAGATGAAAAGATCACCAATATATTTCCACATAACTTTTATGTAATCACATGGATGATGAAAGGATGAGGGTGTATTGAAGGTATTGCTGATCTTTTACGTATAAATTACGGTATATCAGTTCTAAAATGTTTTTGAAATAATCAATTTGATTTAAACATGAAATTCAATTTTTACTCAAAAAGTATAACACCTGTTATTACGAGGAAGAATCCACCGAGAAAAAAATTCCAATGTGCATCTTTCTATGGCTAAATATACTAAGAACATTTCGTGTCAACTTTGTGAAATGATAGAAAAGTAGAATGATTGGTTACTGGTCAACATGACACAAACAATTAAATGTGAAATTTCCCATGAAACCCCAGATGAACCATTTAGAATGAAGGAAAAATTCAAGCAAGTTATGCATAAATCCTATTTTATGACATTTTTACATTTGTATGTATGGATTAAATGTAAATATTTCTCGTTATTTTTTCTTTTCTTCTATATTTTTTATTATAGATAGTTCTTGTAGAATAAGATGGTTCATTTTTTAATAGTTGATAACAGAGACTAATCATCTTAAAGAAGTTGTTTGAAGTGGAAGAAAGGGGTGAACTCAGTTGACTTGACCTTGCTATTTTCCTTATCACAGCACTCTTCTTCTGTCTGTCATAATTGATTTGGTGTTCTTGTTGAAACAATGAATCCGGAGGTACATCGAATTGTCTCACTGTCTTTCTTGGTCTGCTATCGGTGTTTGTGACCTCGAAATTTCGTTCATCAATTTTGGGCTGAATTTTGCATACCCTCAAGTTTTTTTTTTCCAGTTTCCCAGAAATTTATTGGTTGCTCAGTTCGGAGTTGTGAGCTTTTGTCCCTTTTGGTTATTTTGGTTTGATTCCCTCACAGAGTTATATATACAAACATGATGTGTGCGTTTTGGAGTTGCAGATAGAGACTTGGACAGTTTTGGTTGGTGTTCTGTGCATCTTGGTGTTCATTGTGAAGGAGTTTGTTATGGGGGGCAAGAGTTCTAAAGGAAGCGGTAGGAGGTATGATTATGGTGCTTCTTCATCTTCATGGGATAATAATAACTATGGTGGATACCCTCCACAATCACCATATCCTTCTCATCAAACACCTCGGCACCAGCATGCATCGGCATCAGCTCCATTTTATGATAATGCTCAGCCAAAAAGGAAGTTGAATAGGAAGTATTCAAAGATAGCTGATAACTACCGTTCCTTGGATGAGGTGATTGGATCATTGCATGTAACAGTGTTTTTATGTTTTTTTTTTTTATATCTTATCAGCAATTATTCCATCTCCTTTGATTTGCTTGTTGTCATTATAATTGACTCTTGTCTTCTTGGGGGTTGCAACTTGCAACATTGACTTAAGTTAAACAAGAATATCCCTACTGTGCCAATGTGAACGCGATTTAGTACAGTTGAAAAATTAGAAACTAGGATAAAAGGAAGGGAATCCATCTAATTCATCTAGTTGTCTAAAAGGAGATGTTTTTAATTGCTCTGCCAGGAATCTGGGTTCATCTTAAGTAGCTTTTTTTTATCAGTAGGAGTTAAACACATATTAGAAAGCTTGTAGCAATTCACACACCCTAAGTTAGACTCCTTTGACAGCTCTTAAGTAGTTTAATAAATAATTATGCGAGCAATCTGATTTAGTATAATAATAAACATGAGAGGTACCTTTTTTTGTTATACGGAAGATTTATTTTTTCAAAGAAAAATGTTAAGAATTCAAGTATGAGCTGAAAGTCCTGTATTGAGTAGAAACGCAAAAGTTTAGTGACATAAAAAGAAAAATAAAGACTCAAAAACATTGACCCTTAAGGTTTTGTGTTGATGACTTGGAGCCCATGTAATAGAAGTTGAACAAACAAGATCAGCTGGAAGAAGTGGCTAAAGAGATGCTGCTACTTTCTTGTTTTCTCATCATGTATCTGTGCTTTAGTTGTCAAGTAAAACCCGTCAGTGTTCATCATATTAAGGGAACAACTGCAATACTCTTGAAATTGATAGAAGTTCTACAACTACATATAGAAAATACACTATATTTTTGTCTAATAATGAAGTAATGAATATAGGTTACTGCTGCACTTGCAAATGCTGGGCTGGAATCTTCTAATCTCATTGTTGGCATTGATTTCACAAAGAGCAATGAGTGGACAGGTGTTATCTCGTACTCACAATTTTATTTTTGAATATTTTGTGACGAGTTTATAATGCTAAATAAATATATATGTTACCCTGAAAATCAGGGAAGAGGTCATTCAATCGAAAAAGTTTACATGACATTGGAAGTGGCCAAAACCCGTATGAGCAAGCAATTTCTATTATTGGGAAAACTCTATCAGCTTTTGATGAAGATAACTTGATTCCTTGTTTTGGATTTGGAGATGGTAATGTCTGACAGGAAACTAACTACTTTTCCAATGAAGTTTTTCTAATGTCCAGATTGCAAACATAATTTGTGTTTCTCCTTTGTCTATTTTCTTTCAGCGTCTACACATGATCAAGATGTGTTTAGTTTCTTTTCGGAAGAGAGGTTCTGCAATGGATTTGAGGAAGTTCTATCACGATACAGACAAATTATTCCTTGCCTCAAACTTGCAGGTATTGCATTTATATCTTAGAAGTTTCTTAATTAGGTTCATCATTACTCACCACATTCATGTGACAGGACCCACTTCATTTGCTCCTATTATTGAAATGGCTATGACTATTGTTGAGCAAAGTGGTGGCCAATATCATGTCTTGCTGATAATTGCAGATGGACAGGTAATTCTCTAGTTCATATTCTCACTGTTGAGCTGAACTCAAGCGCTTTTGGGAATCAGTCATCTTAAGTTTCATACCATAAATGATGAAATTGCAATGCTGTAGTCGTAGCATTCAAGCACAGCTTCATTTGGTTTTGCATGGAAATGCTAACATCTACTGTAGCTCAGTGACTCATAACATCACATGTTAACATGCTGTAGATATTCATTGTTTCTGCTCTCTTCTAGGGCTTCAAAAACTGATACTCAGTATTTATCACAGGTGACTAGAAGCGTTGACACAGAACATGGCAACTTGAGTCCACAAGAGAAGAACACAATAGATGCAATAGTTAAAGCAAGGTAAAATTTTAGTTTTCTGGCATGCGGAGTACAATTCTGCATTCTTATATTCTCTTAAATTGCAGTGAGTATCCACTATCAATAGTTCTGGTGGGAGTTGGAGATGGACCATGGGATATGATGAGGGAATTTGATGATAACATCCCTTCTCGAGCATTTGACAATTTTCAGGTTTGGTGTAATTCACTTGTCATTTTTTAACTTTTCATGTTCAATTCTTCCCGTTATACTAAAATGTGATATTTGATATGGCTGCATGTAGTTTGTGAATTTTACTGAAATAATGACAAGGAATGTAGATTCAAGCAGAAAAGAGACAGATTTTGCCCTTTCAGCTTTGATGGAGATACCTTCTCAATATAAGGCAACCATAGAGCTTGGCATATTGGGGTACTAAATATCATTTCATTAAATTAAAAATGGTATCTGTAGTAAATTGGGTTTTTTCTGGTGTAAAGTTAATAACCATAACTAAATTTGAAAATTACATGTTTCCATTGATACAAATAGCGCAAGGAGGGGTCATTCACCAGACAGGCTTGCTCTACCCCCACCTCTCTATGGTAGGACTTCTTCCAGCATCAGCACAAAATCGACAAGGTCAAACAGTTTTCAGCAGAGGCCACCTACACACACTAGCCTTGACAACAGTGTTCACACGGAGGCATCTGCAAGTTCTTTATATGATAATAAGGTCTTAAGTCCATGCTAAACGTCTTTCCTATTAAACTAAAAGATATACTTTATCTTTCTACTTTTAGTGCCATCATAATGATAACTTTTCATTTCTGTACCCCTTTGAGTAATGGTTTACATAACATGACTTTGTTTGCTGAAGGTTTGCGCGGTTTGCCTCACCAATCCGAAAGATATGGCCTTTGGTTGTGGGCATCAGGTGATTCATCTTCATTATTGTATTTAAGGCTGTATGCAAAGAACTAAAAAGACTAAGCATAATATTAAGTTTTTTCCTTCTCCAACGCATTTACTCTTCTTGCAGACTTGTTGTGAGTGTGGAGATTACCTCCAATTCTGTCCCATTTGCCGGAGCACGATCAAAACCAAAATAAGGCTTTACTAGTTAGCTTTGCTTTAGAAGTGCTACCAGCGGAAATTTAGCTCTTTTCCAGAATAAGGTTAGTCATAACCGTTTGATAAAGTTAGAAGGTTACAAAGTGAATGTTCTATTGATATGCTTTAAGTCATTAATTTAACTTGATTCATAAACAGGGCTGCGAAATAATGTGCAGAAAGTTGGTCTTGCTGTTTTCATGGATGGTTTCTTGTTCATCAGCTCACAATTTTGGGCGAAACTTGTATGCCCAGTTAGGATCAGGAAGAGTTTTTTACATAAAGAATTGGTCTTCCCCGTTGGTTGTATATATGTAGTTGTTTGTCGTGAAGGCCTCCTGTATTTAAATAAAACTACTCGTCTAAAAAATGCTTGCATTGTTCGAAACAGTGGTTTCTTTTCTAATTGAAGAGGAAATAAATTTAAACTATGTCCGTATGAGCTATACATTTGTTTTTGAAACAAATTAAGAACATTTCAATTCATATCTTATTTCACTTTGTTTCTTTTTCCTTATGATCACATCATATTACTTAACTATTCTCTCTTTTATATTCTCCATCTAAGTCTGTACATCATTTTCGAAGAAAAATGCGCACTACATTGCAAAAGGAAGTCATCCTGATAGACAAAATATGGTAATTGTTACACTTGTTCCTGTCAATATAGATTTTATCTAATAAAATTCTTTTTTGTTATCAGAGTTATACATTTATATATTATATTATGATGCATTGTCGATATGCGTTAGTTTTAAAACAGTAAAATTATTTAATAACAATCATATATTTATCTTTTAATATAGAAAATGGTATATCCTTATAGTATGTCATATTCATTTGACATAATTCATAGTAACATTATCTTTGTATGACGAAATTATATTACCAGAACAAGTTTGACTACTATCATATTATGTCTACGATAGACATGAAACATTTTTATGATGTTCTAATCAGACTTTTACTTTCTACAACTCAAACAAATAAGTGTAGAGTACTGCTACTAATCTGTATGAGTTAGCCTAAACTACTGGGACACTGGGCAAATTAATCAGAAGTTCGTAGTATAGTGCAGTGTAACATAATAAAATAAAAAATTGTTCATTTCAGATCATCATCATTCATTTCAGACAAATTACTTTTTGGATTCACTGTAGATATAAAAAGTTCAGTATAATTTATTTTGTCTACCCCTACTTATGCTTATATCATACAAATTTTCAAATCACACAAGGACTCCGCATAAAGTCAGTTCAAATAATCTATGAATCCTTCCATTTTCAGGGTAAAGGAACTATTCTTTGTTTATCAGAGTAAAATACATTAAAGTTGCTCAACTACTGAGTGGCCTTTGCTGACCCTTGCGCAATACCTGCCTGACCTTTTAAATTAAAACAATCGCCAGTTTACCTAACCTAGTTTCTATTAAAGTAAAAAATTTCAATTTTCAATAATTAACATACACATTAGATAACAAATTAGACTGCAGACTCTTTCCTTCTGGCTCTTGAAGGAACTTCTTATCTTCTATATAAGTCTGTATCTCCGTAATCGTCTTCGTCAATTCTGGTACATTCCGTGATTTCAAATCAACTAAAAAGTTCTCAGAGACGACATTCAGCATCTTTAAGAATTGTGATTTATATCTTTTAAAGAGAGCAAATCCTGCCATCTGACAATGTAGAATTTGTTAACCTCAACAGATTTATACATAAAAAGTACCTTAAAATTCTAAATTACTTACTTGCAAGAATGCATTGAGCGAAACAGCTGTGTAATGATTTGCTGGGAGTGTGTTCAAGAACCTTGCGAGCCACGCCCAACCTTCTGGCAAGCCGTGGAAATTTTGAACGTTCGTAGTTTCAGTCTGTTGAAACAAATAAACACGATCAAGTTCTCAGTGAAATCTGGTCAATGTTAAATATCTAAATATTTGATATTCATGACAGACCTGAACCAGTGCACCATACACCTTCATGTATGATTCTAACCGCTTTAAATAATCTTCTGTACTCTCCAACTTTCCGTCCACTTCTCGATAACCAATACTTCTGAAGTATGCCTCCTTTGATTGAAAGGCGGACTGACCACAGCAAAATTAATAATACAGATTCAACCCCGACTTTTTTAGATTATATTTGAAGAATACGTGTGATCCTTTTTTAGAATGCATAATTACCCTCCATTAATGATTAATGTAATAAATTTAGTTGAAATATTAGAGGCAGCGAAGAATAAGGACAAGAACGAATTAAAAGAGATTTTTCATATATCTATATCCGAGATTGCAAAATTATCGTTTCTGCCTAAAGTAAATAATCGTTCTTTATGGAATGTAATTGTTACGTCAGAAAAGTTGGATAGCTAATGTCTACACTGTAGCAGTTCCAGTTAAAGCATGACCATTTTGCTTATCTCTGAAAAAATGGGCGAGACCTGTTATTAAGATAAAATGTGATATGACCATTAAACGAATTTTATTTAGAAAAAGATTTCCCCACCTTCAAAATGACTTTAAAGAGAGTTCAAGTATATAAAATTCACTGCTTCCTCAATCACACAACCATATCACAATCTGTATCGAAGGTACCTTCTTGTAAAGCAGGTGCTTTGGAACGGTATAAAGGCAAGCCATGTGAAGCTCAGCAAGCAAAATATCCATTGCGTGTGGAATCTGCCTTGCAAACGATAAATCATTGAAAACTATATAAATAATTGCATTTTAAAAAATATCTATTCATTCTGTGCTTCTCTGGATAACTGGGATTAAGGATGTTGTACCTGAGATGTAATAAGAACGATGACATAGGCACTGGCAAAGGGAGCATTCCCGGGGTTTTCACAGTACGAAACAACCTGTGAAGTATGTCGTTAGTTGGCAGCTTTGTCTAGTAATAACCATAGATAGGTAATCAAATTCCCATTTTTCGAAATATTGTGTCCCTTATTTCGAGAATTTTAAAGCCAAATTATATGGATTTTAGCCACATTATTTGATTATCATTAATCATAGGGCTTGATAGATAGGTTCCAAAGCAAAGCAATAGGCTACATGTGGTTTAATTTTAAGATAGAAAAAGCTCATGATCAAGTGTCAAAAGAAAGGTGTTCGGTTGGCTTACATCAGCTATACAAAGGTATTTAATTATAATTTTTTATAGGGATTCAAAGCAAAAGGGGGCGTAATCATAACTTATCAGTAGTATTTTAACTGTCAATTGATGAGAAGTTCACATCTAAAACAAACAACTGAACCCAGTTTTAATATTAAGGCTCCACTTAATTATGTTTCCAGTTCTTGAAATTTAGGATAATTCTGATTTTGGTCCCATTTAAAAAAAGTTTATTTTAGTCCCTTAAAATGTTAAAAAACTACGATTTTAGTTCTTAAACAGTATTTGAAGGACCACAGTTTTTTAAAACTGTTTCTAGCCGCTCAAATTTAGTGTTTAGGGACTCAAACCGTATTTTACTAAATTTGAGTGACTGAACAATGATTTACTTCCAATTTTAAGGAGTAAAAACATTTAAATTCAATATTAATCTATTATTACTGCCGTCTGTGTTCTGGTAAAGCAGAAAGAAAGAAACAGTAAAGGTCAATAATATCAAATTACCTTTTTAGCAAATATCTCAATGCTGACTGATTGAGGACATTGAGGATCATTCAAAAGTTTAATCAGTTCGCTGGCTTTTGACCTACAGAATGTTCAAAAGAGTAAACAGACACGTATTAATAATATCCTATTCAAGGATAGGGATTTCCTTTATTGGAAATAAAATCCTTGAGCAGTCTACATTTATTAGATATTCTTGTTACTTTTAGGTACAGATTGAAACATTTCTTCCACAGTTTTGAAACAGGAACAATTAGAACATAAAATTTGACCCTTTAAAAAGAATTGAAGGTACAAGAAACCATGAAAAATTAATAAAAAAGGTATGCGTTAGCAAAATTAAATATTCGCTTTACCTGACATTGTCTCTTACACCCCTTATTTGCCTTATATTCCGGGAAATATTACCCTCATGCCGAGTGTAATCCTGAACAGATGTTGACACAAAGTGTGCTAGTTAGTCAATAAAGTGAGATAGACAGAAGCAATTTTCTTGTACTGCAAAAATTTCAAGCCTCAGGTGAATATAAGAATCATTAAAAATATACATTTTATTATCTAGAATAGTATTGAACTAAAAATTATCATAAAAAAATCAACAAAAATTGGTGTTGCTTGTAGGTTAGAAAACCTTGAGATGAATATCCCCGAGATGTCCTTTCAAGAATACCTTATTAGAACTTGATCTTATCATTTGGTTTCTCTCACATAGCTCTTTCAATTTCTGCAGTCTCCCCTGTTCTAGATTCAAAGCACTTGGTGCAGCTCGATATAAATTACCTGAAGATTGTTTTAGGTCAGTTGATTTCTTGGATGATAAACATGTAAAAACTAACAATGCATAGATAATAGATCTAAACATTCAAACAGGTAAATCACACCAGATTATGCAGGTAGCCTCACCAAACAATGCTGATATGACAAGAAGAAAACCAATTTCTTTAGAATAGAAATATGGCAAGAAAAAGCAAATTTCCAACTAAGTGATACACTAATGGTCTGAAACAAAGGCAAGCGTTCTTGCATACTAGATGTTGACAAACAGGAAAACATCAAAAACTAACAGTGGCATCGGAAAGATATATCATAAATGTAAAAGAAGAAAACTAATACCATATTCCTTGTTTTCAGCATTGGATAGGTTTGATGTATCTGTTGAATCCCCAGCGGCTTGTTGGGTCCCTCCAGAAGTAACCCTTTTGGAAGTTTCATTGGCTTCCTTTGCAGCTTTCTTTTCAGCTTCCATTGCTGCCTGTTTTCTGGCTTCCATTGCTGCTTTTCTCTCAGCTTCTCGTTTTGCTTCCTCAGCAGCTCTAACTTTGGCCTGCACCCACAAAATTTGAAAGTAATTAATGAAAGGGAATTTGGGCCAAAGTTTGTACTTTCTGTAAATAAAATTAAGATAAAAGGTTGTAACGTATGCAGACTAACTTCATCAGGCGTTTTCAGCTTCATGTCAAATGAAATTTAAAAACATAAATCCATAACAATTTGACAAATAACAAGCACAATCAACTAAATATAAAGGTTCCAGTACCTCTGCTTCAGCTCTAGCCTTTTCTTGCTGCAGCTTTTCAAAAGCAGCCTTTCTCTTGGCCTCTTCATAAGCTGCATCACTTCTTATTTTCCTTTCTTCTATTTGTGATTTGAGTTCACGGTCCCGTTGAACAGCTGTCAAGTGATTATCAAGTGCTTCTGCACTAAAAAAAATTGGAGAGTGAACAACATGATACTGTTTCTGGTACTGAATTACAGAATGAAAATGATACAAATGAATATTCAGTTCCTAATGTGTCTCAGCTTCATACAGGTCCTAATGTTGTGTGTTCTCGAGAAAATTGTAACAAATAGGCATTCTATGACTACAAGAGCTAAGGCTGGTATATTCAAACCTATAGAACCTATGCTGCTGCTATCAATAGATAATATGATCCTACAATTCATCCTACCTCGGGAAAAGAGGCTTTAAACAAACCTGAGTGGTTTAAAGCTATGCAATAGAGTAGAATGATACTATGTCTAACAACACATGGCTCTTGTAGATTTACCTCATGGGATGCAAATGGATCTTTAAATCTAAGTGCAATGCAGATGGAAGTTTTCAAAGGCATAGGGCCAGATCAGTAGCATAAGGCTTTCATCAAACAGAAGGATTTGACTTCTCTTAAACATTCAGTCATGTTATCAAACCAACAACAGTCAACATTGTTCTTACTCTTACAATCTCTTTCAATCGGCCCATTCATCAAGTTGACATCAATAATGCTTTCTTACAAATTAATGTAGAGGGAACAGTGCAAATGCTACAGCCACCACAATTCACTTCAAGTGATAAAGGAGACGTGTGCAGGTTAAACAAAGCTATCTACTGTCTAAAGCAAGCCCCTAGGTCCTGTTTCCATAAACCAAGTTAGACTCTCATCAAATGGGTTTTAACTCAGCTAAAAGTGATACGTCTTTATTTAGAAATGTTAGAATTATTTGTTAGCAGATAATCCTAGCATGCACTGAAGAGCCAAACATTTTGAATAGGATCTTCACTTTGTTCAGGACAGTTCTTAGCAAACAAGTTGGGTTTATTCATCTTCCTGCTCAATTTCAGATTGCTGACCTCATTACCAAACCTATCTCAGGAAAGCAGTTTGCAGTCTCAAGGGACAAGGGACAAGCTTATAGTTACCAACTTCTCCGCTGAGTTTGAGGAGGGTGTTAAGAGCTATTGCTAGTTATGTTAGTTAGTATTATGTAAACAATGTACAGTTATCAGTTTGCAGTTTTTAACAATAATTCATAATGTTTTCTTCTTTATCTATATTCTTCTCTACCTTTTCCTTTATCTCAACAATCTTCCTCCCACAAAAAGGTTAATCTTATATCCTTTCATCAGTATCTTTTAAAGAGAAATGCAAAACACATTATGCCCCCATTCCAAACAAATAGAAAAATAGACACTAATAAAACCAATCTACTGTTTAAAGTTCTGACAGAAAACTAGAAATACAATACATTAAAGTCTGCAAAGACAGATACGTAGAAGAAAGAAAAATCATAATGCCTAGAAAGAAGATATGAGGGGTGGGGAGATTATGAAATCGTACATCCTACGCTGATATTGAGTGTCAAACTTTTTATCCAATTCCTGCCTTGTTTCTTTATATTTCTCAACTCGAAGGAGAGAAGAAGCAGAATTCTGAGTTTCATTCACCAAAGCTGTCTCCAATGCCGAAATCTTATTCCTAATTTCATCCTGTTAACCACATAACAAAACAAACCATGAGGTTGATTCACAATTTATCACGTTATACAGTGATCCACCAGACAAATTATTCAACTTTTAACTGATAAGTCAAACAGGTAACAAGTGCACCGACATCAATCAACACCATACCTCACCTTAACCTTAAGCTGGTGCTCCTGCGCCAACTCAAACAAGGCACCTTCTACCTCTCCCAATTCATCCATCAAGCAAGGCCGCACTTCAAAACCAGAAACAATGTCCGAATCGTCATCACTGTTACTGAAACGCCAAAGGAAATGCAAACATTACTCTCAAAACACCCAATATAAAGACAACCCCATTTTTTCTTAAAAAAAAAGATCCATGTTGACATTTCCATTATTCAACAGATATAACTTAATGCACAGTTCCTTAGGTACTCTTTGTATTATTCTCTAATCAGAATTAGGGTTTCTTCTCCATAACCTGCATAATCCCTATTGTAAATCTTTATTATGAAAATTACCGAATGAAGGCCAGGCCCAATTCTAATCGGATAACTGAAGAACCTGCGCTTGTGTAACTGTAGCTACGTTTTCTCCGTATTCAAAATATTAGAATAAATCTAGAGTTCAAGAAATGAGCACCTCAGATAAAGTTCATCACAAGTGAACCGTTTGGCACTGCCAGCTACTACCAATGCCTTGTCTACATGATCATCATCCTCACTCTCCGAGTCCTCCATCTCATACTCATCGGCTCGCAATACGAAAGCTCTCCCTTTCTCGATTTCTCTCCCACTGGACACGCCTCAACCGTCAACACAGTTCAAATTCGCAACAACCACAACCAAAAGTTGAAAGAGAGAAAATAAATACCGAGTTCTTGATTTTTCGAAAGGTACAGAGCGTTCGGTGGAAGAAGTAGTATTAGCGAGCTTCGTCTCCAAATCGTTGAGTTCCGAAACAAGATCGTCAAAGCTCCAATCAGGTTCCGGCTCGGCGGCAACGCCATCCACTCTCTGCGAACAATTACGAATATTCAATTTCACAGCACCCCTGCAAATGCCATGGCAAATTGAAATTCATTTCCTTGGCTACGAATCAAAACCACCGAATTTGAAATTCCAAGATTACTGAAAAGAAAAGAGATTCTACATTGTTTGTCAACGTCTGTGTTCAGAGGCGACACCGTTAGAGGTTTGGAAGCTACTCCGACGACTGAACAACATAGACGACACCGTTTTCAAATTGTGGGTGAGTAGAGATTAGGGCTTGGATATATTATATTTCTTAAACAATGGAAGGTACCTAAAATATTTATTATTTGTGCTTATGTCATCAAATATTTGGATCGAATTTAGAAAATACATAGAATAGAAAGTAACAATGTTCGTATTAGATTTTTTCTTGAATTATAATATTTGAGCCAACATCAAATAAGAGAGGTTAATTTAGTTTAAATTTCATTTATACAAAACTCTATTTAAAAAGTTCGTACATAGTTTTATTTTATCATTAAAAAGGTTAAATAACATTCTTTTATCGTAACTAGCTTCCTAAATAGTAAAAAAACTTAAAAAGATATATAATTATATCATAAAACTTCAAATATAATAATTAATTATAAATAAATAAATCATTTGTTTGTTTAAGTTTGTTGAATTTATAGATTATAAATTTAATACTCAAATCAATGATTATTAAATTAAAGTATTTTAACCAATTGAAATTATAATAAGAAATTATGTTCAAGAGTTATATTAAACAAATATTATTGAATTAATATGATATTAATTTGATTTGAAGTGAAACGTGCAAAATGCCAAAACGATGTCTTAAATGTGTTTATGTGTATACAACGTCAAATGCGAGCATGAGTACAAAACTTATATTATTATTATTCTTGGATTTGCAGAATAATAGAAGAAAAGCACACACAATGATAATAATAAAAGAAAAAGAATATTATACTAAAATATTTTACATATTGAATATATATCAAACAGAGGGTACTTCAACGACTAAATGTCTTTATATTCAAAATTTAGGAATAAAAAATATTAAAACAAGCAAGACAAACATTTCATGTGAGAGTCTAGAGAATAGACAATAAACAATTTAATTAAACTTAACATTAATTAATAGATTTCTAGTATATAATCTTCTACGTTTCTTCATAAGACCATAAAGAATTATAGTGAATACATCACTAATACTTATTACATAGTTGCATGAAAATATATTAATGTAATGATTTACGCTCAAAGGAAAGAATAAAAAACCAACATTTGATCACTAAAGGATAAGAAAACAAATCACTGAGTTCACTCAGAATGATTTTATGATAACATAGTAAACATCAAATAAAAAAACATACAAAATACAACTCAGGACTAAATTGTTATAGATAACGTTATTGTTGTTTCATCAAATTCTTGGCTAGACTTGTGGTTGTAGCATATTAGACGGGTTGTGTTGTAGATTAGGTAGGTTTTGGGTTGTCAACTACTTGGTTTTGGCATCTGTTCAACATCGTCTAAAGTCTACTCAGATGATATATGCAGAAAGTACTCCAATGTTAAAATCAGTAGATAACCATTTTGTTAGTAATTAATGCATATTATCTTAAAGTCATACTTCATACCTTTATATATAGTGATTGTTATGGATTTTTATCTTTTTTCTTATCTAATCACAGTCTAATCATATCTTAATTTACATTAAGAGGTTGATTAGTCATTATCATTGTTGATCTAACTATGTTGTGACCGGTTGACCATGTTGTGACTGGTCGATCATGTTGTAATCGCTCGACCATGTTTAATTTGATCACGTTGTAACTCGTCAATCCGGAGTGAGTGGCCAAAAGAGTACTACCTGGGAGTAATCGAGTCTTAGAGCTCAACCTATAAGAACTTGGCCTTAAAGCTCAACCTAAGAGAGCTTGGTTTGGAGGAGCTCAATGTTAAAGTTCAATTGGAAAAACTAGGCTAAAGAAGCTCGTCTAAATGGACATACAATAAATTTGTAAATTTCTCTCTGACATTATAATTAAAATTTATAAGAGCTCAACCTAAAAGAGATTGGTCAGGAGGAGCTCGTTAGAGGAGCTCGTCTAGCATACAATAAATTTGTAAATTTCTCTCTAATAATATAATTAAAAATTATATACATACATAAGTATATAGTGAGTATCTTCATTTAAAAAATTAATATATTCAGAGTTCTAAAATATTTAGACAATGTCACATATGGAAATTTAACATTCTGATATAATTTCAAAATATAAAGGTTTTAAATGTATAATAAGAATGGATACGTTGCCCTTGTAAAGTACAATGTCATATTGAAGAATTTGTACTTTACAAACACGAGTTTAACTTTTTGTTTCACAGACACAAGTGCAATGCTTATTTATATTAATAATATACAAAATATATCGAACTTATAAGCATCACAAAATTTTTCTAGAAGATTATCATAAACAACATAAAAGTGTTCGGAATGCTCTTTTTGTTGTGAAAAATTGAGTATTCTAAAAGACTTTTAGTTCCACATTACCTAGATCACACTCTTTCAAAAGATTTATATACTGAGACATTCTTTACACTCTCAAGTTGAATGCAAAGGAAATGGGTATTTTATGTACATTTTAATTCAAAACCTGTTGATGGTATTGGTGAATTTGATTATGGTGTTTTCCATGAAGATGGAAGAATAAAGAGCTTTATGGAAAGTTACATAATAAAAAATTTAGCAAGAAATGAAGTAGTTGTCAAAATCACCATGATGTGAACCAGTGCCTTTTGAGGAATGAATGAAGTTTGTGTGTTGTGATGTGAGAAATTGAGAATCAATCTTTCCAGAAAGAAGACAAAGCTCTTTTACTTGCCTTATGACAAGAGAAAAGCATAAAAAAAGTATTTTACTTGCTCCCTTGTCCCTCTAATTCAAAAATAACACTTGCATTGATTTAACTATTTTCAGAAGTTCGTATAGAAAGAGAAAAGAAGATATTGCCTTTTGATAAAGATGTTTCTTTGATTATATAATCCAGTTTTATAATCTCAGATTGTATTGAAAAAACTGTGGCCCCATAATGTCAATGACCTGATTCGCATGCTGAGTAACATAGTTACTTCACTAATCCATGAAGTAGTAATGTAATACCAAAATAAATAAAGTGAAAGAGGAAAGAAAAAGTAAGAAGACATTTTCCTTTTCGTAGACTATATTATTGGAAATCTAAGTGAGTTTAAGTATTAGACATTAGTTTTTAAGTCTAACTCATTTCTATAAAACCCCACTTATATATTATAATTTGGCTTGTACAGTGAGGTTTGCACCCCACTTATATATTATAATTAGCTTTATCTTTAGTTGATCTGGGAGTGGTCCGATACTCCAACCATAGCTCTCATACCATATTAAAAAGTGATTTTAAGCCTAACTCAACCTCACAAAATCGGCTTATAAGTTGAGGTTTGCACTCCACTTAAATATTATAATTTGGCCTTATCTCTGGTTGACGTGAGACTTTCAAGATTAAGTCTCACGTTAAGTAAAAATAAGAAAGTTGAGTATAGATGAAAACAAATAAATACATTCCTTTAGATTTTTGGTTGGAGGTGGGTCAGAATTGGACTCATGTTTTGTTGGCATTGTATATTCTCAGTCATTTCTTTTGAAAGACCCTTCACGTATAAATTAACATAAACATAATAAGAATACTTCAATAGACACATATTGATGGTTCCCATCATCTTTCTGTTTTGATCAAAAGAATATAAATTTAGCTACAGAATTATCCAATGATAGCAGAATCTCGTAAATTTTGCAGTGTGGCAAGTTCATGTGGTGCATTTCAACCTTGTTTCAACCTTGAGTTCCTTTTTTCTTTCTCAATTTGAAACATGCAACGTGATAATCTTATAAAGAAGCTCCTCCTTACACATGATCCAGATGGTCGTAGGTTGGATTCTGAGGCAATTCTTCTTGCAGTGGGCAACATTATGTTTCATTCTTCCAAAATAATAGTAATTTTTATCCACCTTGATACACCCTTCATGCTGTAGCCATAAACTCATGCAATCTCATACCATTTTTAAAACTATCCCTAACAAGAAATTCATTAAACTGAGTGTGGCATAGAAAACATATTACCTGTATTGAAAATTTCAGATTATAATTTCTATTGGCTTGTTTCAGGTGACTTGTAATTTATATTCTGCTTCCTTTCATAAGACGGATATAACTGAAATTGAAACGATTGGTTGTAGTGAATCGGTAGGATTCATCATCACAAAAATATGCAAGGTATTCTACATGTTTGCTGTTTTGACAATGTGAGTGCATGCATTTGCTGTTGGACTTATGATTAACATATCTATTTTGTTGGCAGATGCTCTGCAGATGCTCTGGTGAAGGTGATATTAACTCAAGGGTCATAAATTTGTTTGATTTGATAGGGAAGTATAGCTGGGACGCAAAAGTAGTTCTAGTGCTTGCTGCTTTTGCTGTAAGATATGGTGAATTTTGGCAACTTATGCAGCTACATTATGATAACAGTTTGGCAGCTTTAATTTCAAGTATTAAGAAGCTTCCCCGCAACTTAAAGCCACTGAAGCTACAAATCAAGGCATTGAGCTTGTTGGTTGAGACCATGATGGATGTGGCTATGTGTATAATTAAGTTTGAATACTTGCCTCTTCAACATGTTGAGCATGGAGATCATATATTCCGTGTCACAAAGTCTCAAATATACGAAGCTGCATACTGGATTGCCAGAAGCTGTTTAGCATGTTTTTCCCAAGTCAAGGACTTCACAACCAAGCAACATGAGCAAGTGCATGTTTCTTCTCTTTGAGGCTCAGATCAATACTGTCAAACATGCATAATTCTTTTATTTATTTGAATAGCCTCTCAGAATTTTTGACAGTTTGGAAAGCACGTAAAAAATTTGCCTAGGATGATATTTGATTTATTGGTATCCACACATTTCAGGTACTCAGATTCAGCAATAATTGCTGCTTGGGAGCTTTCAAGTTTGGCGTATAGATTAAGTGGCACACGCTGCAATCTTAGAAGACAGGTGGATCTGTGTTACGAAGAAATAGGTTACTTTTTAGCTTCATAATAATGCTTACAATGACAGGTTTATTAAACAATTCTGATTTATGTGATCAGTGATTTATAATTAATGTTTCAGAGAGAAACTTGTATCAGAGGCTGTCGGATCTTGCTCGTGAGGAGCACATTGATAATCAAAAGAT